AGTCAACTGGTGTCAGGGTGTGAAGGCCAAGGGGATGAAAATCAGCTTGTTTGACAACACTGACCCTTCAGAACTGCAATCAGCAGGATGTGATAGAAGGGAAATGACTCTTTTTAAGCCCCAGCAGCTGCAGGTGCTGTTACCTGACCAGCCTGAGCCCTTTGGCTCCGTGATGCTGCAGCTCCTCACTGCTGGAGGCTCACACCAGAGATCTCCTAACCCAGTTATAAATCAAATGGAAGGAGTTGGTGTCACTTATTTCCCACAGCAAATTCCCAAACGGACTCTTCCAAACAGAAAACAAACAATAATTCAGCTCAGTTTGTCTCAGATGTGGCTGCACGCTGCTGGCCATGGAAACCTTCCAGCAGCTGGATCAGCTGGTCCCACCACTGCCCCGGGAGCACACTTCCAACTGGCCTGCTGGTTTCAAGGTCCAGTCTTCTGGTTACCAAAGAAAAATCATATTTATATCTCCCAGAAGTGAGAGAAAACCCTCTGGAGCAGGGCATGTTCCACCCACAGCTCCATCCTCCTGCTGCCAAGGACACGGCGCCCAAAGGGCACCAGGCAAACCAACCACGTCCCTCCCGTGGCCTCCTGCACCGGGAAGTGTTTTCATCCTGATCACTGAGTGCTTAATTCAAACTCAAGAGGCAGAGCCCAGATGCTTAAAAATAAACTGGTGCTGAAGTGTTGCTGCATTAGCATGTTTTGCATAATTCATTTCCTGGTGCTGAGCAGAGCTCTGACACTTCCCGCCCCGCGCCAGGTCACGGTGGCAGCGCGGGCACGTGCTGCTCCACGGCCTGCTCCGGGCACAGCCCGGGGTGCCAGCATGCCCTGCCAGACCCAATCCAGCCCAGAATGGTCTGGGTTGCCTGGAGAAGCTGTGGCTGCCCCTGGAAGTGTCCAAGGCCAGGTTGGACAGGGCTTGGAGCAACCTGGGCTGGTGGAAGGTGTCCCTGCACATGGCTGGGGGTGGGATGAGATGATCCTCAAAGTAAAACCTGTAAAACCTGAGTCCCAAGGGCATTCTCTGCTCTATTCTGGTTCTAAATGTACAGCTGGAACATGGGAACCCTTCTTCCATGAGCAGGTCATGGACCTCTGAGTGATGGCCCTAAACATGGGATCAGAATCAGTCCCTCTGGAGAGGGACTCTGGACAAGGGATGAAGGGACAGGACACAGGGAATGGCTTCCCACTGCCAGAGGACAGGGATAGATGGGATATTGGGAAGGAATTCCTGCCTGGGAGGGTGGGGAGGCCCTGGCCCAGGTTGCCCAGAGAAGCTGTGGCTGCCCCTGGATCCCTGGAAGTGTCCAAGGCCAGGTTGGAGCAACCTGGGATAGAGGAAGGTGTCCCTGCCCATGGCAGGGGGTGGCATTGGATGATCCTTAAGTTCCCTTCCCACCCAAACCTGTGATTCCACGATTCTATGGCATCAAGTTTGGTGCATCACACTGACCAGGGGCTGGGGAAAAGCAAAACTGCAATCAAGCCCAGGGATTTTCCACTCCTGACCAGAACAGTGGGCACCATTCATCCTCACTTCCCAGCCACTGAGCTGGGAGCACAGCAACAGCCTGGAAAATGAACAGAAATGCTGAAAGCTCGAAACTAAAAAAAACGTATTTGGGGGGGAAAGGTTTGGCCCTCAGTAACCTCCCAGCGACCAAACAAGAGATCAGAAAGGGAAATGTCAGAGCTTGGTTTCACTTCAGGATGGATTCCAAGGCAGAAATAATGAGGCAAATAAACCCAGCTCCTCCTGTGGGGTCACTCGCTCCCCTGGCTGTGAAGCGCCAGACCAAGGTGACAGATTTAAACCACCTCTTCCAACAGACTGGGAAGAGAAATTCTTTTATTCAGCAGGTGCTGACCTCAAAATGAGAACAAGTTCAAACCCTGTTAAAAACAGGGGCGGTGCTGATCTCAGATGAAGCACCAGATCAGTCCCTTTGGCAGCTTTAAGGAGCATCCAAAATTCCAGCAGGGAAAAAACACTCCCCTTCTCTTAAGCAGCCACACAAGCACAGGCTGATAATTACCCTGCACACCTTCAGAGGGATGTTTTATTTTATAAAGGACCTGGAGTCTTTAAAAAGTTCCCTAAATAATTTATAATCTTGGCTGAACGATGCAAAAAAACATAATAAAAATAACAAGTCCTTTCGAAACAAACACAACAAATCAAACATTTCCGTTTGGGTTTGTTTCTGCTGAGTTTTGCTATTTGGGGGGGGAGAAGTTCCTGTGGATTTTAACACCTTCTCATGCAGATTTTGTTTTTAAATTAAAGACTTCAGAGTGACTCCAGTCACTCCAAGCCATTCAGTCACCAACTGAAAACTACCCAACAGCTGCTGTTTTATTTCAGACCATCTTGTGAACTCTGAATTTCGTTTTGCACCTCTCAAACTCTTTCCCAACATCACCAACATCCTTCAGCACAGCAGAAGAGAACATTTCACACCCCAGGGCCAAGTTTTGCGTGACCTTGCTTGTGAAGACAAAATAAAAATAATAAAAACCCCTTTTATCTTGCACACAAGGTTAAGGGAGTCGATAAAGATGTTTGATAAAGGGTCAGTGCACTGGTGGTGCAGGGTAAAGGCAGAGGGGTTCCACCTCAATAAGTCGTTGGAGCTGTTGTTGTTGTTCACCTCAGACCTCGCGTTCCAGACGCTCAAATTAAAAATTGGTTTAATAAAAATAATTCTCCTGTGATGTCTGGGTGGAAAGACTTACAAATGGCACCTCCTGGCTGACACAGCACCTGGGCACCCAGTGCTCCCTCCCTCTGAAATATATGTATTTAACAGTGGAGTTTATTGGATTGTTTCCTCATTAAAAGGTGTCATTGCCCAAATAATTTCAGTGAGACCTTAAGGAAGAGCCCAGTGGCTCTGTCAGAGCTGGGGCCTGAACAAGGAAACCCAACAGGGCTGAATTTTAGAAATCTCCTTTTCCTGAAGATTCCTAAACCTAGTTCAGTGTCTCTCAACTTCCACAGTGTTGCCTTCAAATTCCACCAAACCAACACAAATCACACCTGATATGGGAGTCTCAGGTACTTCAGGATCTCCACCGAAATCCATCCCAAGTTCTGCTAAATTTAGGAATTATAACAAGGAATCCAGTGCCCCACCAACTCCAGCAAAGGAGGGAACTCGTCCTACCCCACAGACATCCCCTGCAGCCATGTCCTGCTCTGTAATGATTTGCAGACCCTAAACCATCTATATATTATAAAACAAAGCCTAATACACTTGATGGACCAGGAAGGGGAATGGAAAACAGCTGGGAAACATTAGAGTTTTCACACTGAGCCTTCGGATTCTTCAGCAGGAGACACTCAAACTGCCCTCACCGGTGTGGGAAACGATGCTGGGGCAAAATCCACCGTGTGGGAAATGATGCTGGGACAAAATCCACCGTGAAAAGGGAAATTCTAGCGGAAGGAGGAAGTTCTTATGGGCAAAGCCTTGAGTGCCCCGAGCAGAAGCAGAGTGGCTGCCCTGCCCTCACGTTACACTGAGGATGGCAAACACCTCCCCTCAGCCTTCAGCCCCGTCCCTCCAGCCCGCAGCAGCGGGCACAGAAGCCTCCTTTGTACATGAAATCCCACTTGGAGGGGGTAAGAGGATATTTCCTGTTAACCTCACCGCAGATTTGTAATCCAGCAGTCAAATTATGTCAATCACAGCTCATTAGGCACCGATTTCCCCTGCCAACTCCGGCCTGGCTGCCTCCTCCAAACCACGTGGCGTTTGCAAACGTGCAACCCCGTTATGGGATCGGGGAAGAGACCACCCTGCTGCAGGAGCTGGGAGCCTGGAATTCACCCCCCCACGGATCCCAGCTTCCCACGGGGAACGGCGGTGCCATCGTGTCTAGGGATGCTCCCGGCACACTTGGTTTGCCGAGCGATGGTTTTCTCCGCAGCAAAGCAGGGTTGGACACCAGAATCCAGGGTTTGTGCCCCACGTAGGATAAAGCCAGGGAAACATCCCACGAGGCTGAGGAGGAAAAGGGAGCAGCTTGGGGAAGGCAGGTCCCTGCAGGCACGTGCCAGTGCTGGAAAGCTCAGAGTCAGCTCTGGGATGCAGATCCCAGTTTATCCATCGCCCCTCACGGGCACATCGGGACACGTGGTGACAATGACACACCCCCCCTTCCCTGGGCTGCACACTCCGGGATAAACCTGAGACTGAGAGAATTATTTCACAGGAAAGGGAGACTATTCACATCAGCAGCTTACAGACAGAAAGCTGGATCTCTCTTGGGTTATCCTCCACGTTTCCCTCCTCCAAATACATCCCATCAAACACAACACACACCCCTGGGCCTCACCACCGGGGACTCAACCATGGAAGCACATTTACCACAGCAGTGCCAAAAACAGCACCAGGAGAGCCAGACCCACAGGAAACCCCTCTCGTGTTATTTGTCCAGCAGGCCAAGAGGGGTGGCACAGCCAGGCCTGGCACCACCGTCCCTCCCACGGGCTCAGCACACCCTCGGGAACGCCGACGGCACCGGGACACACCACGGGAGCACAGCGAGATTGGAGAGCTTCACCCAAAAAGTGTGACCCGGGGCACTGCCCATCACCTCCTGCAGTGGATACACCTCAAAGAGCGTGGATACACCTCACCAGAGGTGACTCTGCATGTTTGAGGTGACAAACCACCTCACCAGGGCCCTTCCTCAAGGCCAGCTCCTCTAACAACCCTGGCACGCTCGTCCATCACCTCCAGGCACACCACCATCCCCTGGCTGCAGGGACCACAGAGATCCTGGAGAAGCTCGGGAGAGCGTGTTCAAAGTGGCAAAAATAAAAGTTGCTATCACAGCACTCGTGGCCATGGACATGTTTTGGAGGGTGATGGTCCATTGTTCCGCACGAGGAGGGGAAGAATAAAACTTCCAAACACACTCGTGAGGCTGCACAGGAGGAACCTTTCCCGCACAGCCCGATCCTGGCACACAGAACTGGAAACAAACCCCTCAGCACGATGACTCCAGACCTGCACGAGCCACTCAGCTGAGCCTCGTGTTCACCAACGTCACAAACAGTCCTGGAAATTTCGTTAGTGACACGAGAATTGCCACTGTCAGCAAAGCCCTCCAGGACCTCACCAGGGCTCCCCTGTGTGCCAGCAACGCCGGTGCCAGGCTAATTTCTTAAGACAGCGTGTAAAGAAGGTGAGATTTAGTCCTATAACCTTCAGCTTCTTCTTCATACTCACACTCCCTGACTAATCCACCGTCCCCACAGAAAATATCCCTCGTCCTTTCTCACTGCTTTCTCATCAGTCCCTGCAGCTCTGGGGTTTGACCGGTGGCACAGTCATCCTTCCCTCAGAGCCACGGAGAAAGCAAAACAGTAACAGCCGGGGAGTTTATTCCTTCAGGAGCTGCTCAGAGATTTCCTGGAAGCTGCAACACCACCAGCCAGCCCTGGCTGGCTTCCAGGACGGGATGAAGGTGATTTTTGGAGCCCCACCTTGCAGCTTCTCCCAGTGGGAGAAGGAATCAATGGGAGCAAACCATCCAACACCCCGTTTGTACAGACTGTGCCTCTGCATGGCCTCTCCCTCCAGCAAGGCTACAGCACTCGCCCTCTGAGCCTTTATTTAAGTCCGTCTTCAGAACCAGAGGCCATCTCCTCCTTTCAAGTACCTCAGGAAATCACAGGCACGGCCCCGTTATCTCCCATATTTACGTTACACGTCTCTAACGCTCTCCCAGACGATGTCTCTGCCTCTGACTGATCTAATCAATCAGTCCCAACTCGAACCCGCCGATTTTCTCCCCCCCAGACCACGCAGGCAAACCAAGCCAGACACTCTTGCGGCAGGTTAGGATGAATCCAGACCCCATTCCGGGCCGTGTGCTGCCTGCGGGAGCATCTCCCATCCGCAGAACCACCACGGCTTTCCCGACAAGAGCAACACGACATCAGGGTTTTTCCACTGTGCCTAATAATCGTAACATCTCACTCGCCATTTGGCTCGTCAGTGGGGGTTCCTGACTGAATAGGCTTATTCTTTTCTTAGACATGATAATCTAATTGGGTCTAACCAGAAATAATCCCCAGCGCACACCAGTTCGCGAATCCTCGCCCAGCGCCGGGAGCGTTTCGCGGGCCGGGGGGGCTGCCCTGGGATGCGAGACGGGAATTACTCCGGGAGCAGCAGCTCTCCTGGCCGGGCTTCCCCTGGCACTACAGGGAGCGCGGGGCATGGCACGCACATGGGGCCGCTCGCCCTCCTCCCCCGGCTCTGCTCGGCACGGAAACGCGGCTCCAAGTCGGGAGGGCACGGCAGAGGGAGACGGGTCGCGACAACCGATAATCGCGATACCCGGGTCGCGATACCCGGGCGCCTGAGAGCGAGCGGGAGGTTTGCGCGATGCGGCGGCCGGGGAGCACCCAGGGGAGCACCCAGGGGAGCACAGCCCTGCTGATCCCAAACACCCAGCCCGTCCTGCTGACACGAACCCCCAGCCCAACATCGGCACCGGGGGGGCAGCGCCGGGGTGTCCCCAGGGGGGACAGGACCAGGGTGTCCCCAAGGGGGAAACAGGACTGGGGTGCCCCCAAAGGGGACAGGACCAGGGTTTCCCCGGGGAGGATGGAGGGGGGGACGGACAGGACCGAGGTGCCTCCGGGGGGGCAGGGCAGGGGGCCCCCCGGGAAGGGGAGGGCAGGACGGCGGCGTCCTCGAGGGGTCACAGGACCAGGGTGTCCCCGAGGGGTCACAGGACCGGGGTGTCCCGGAGGGGTCACAGGACCGGGGTGTCCCCGAGTGGGGAAACAGGACCGGGGTGTCCCCGAGGGGTCACAGGACCGG